TAGTGTCAGGGGTGGGTCGTTGCACAGGAAACAACCGAATTTTTGGCCTGGTTTCTTCTAAGCAGTGTGGGGAGAGGGTTCATTTACTGCACTACGCATTACTCTTACAGCGACCTGAAAAGCAACTGCTTTAATGTTTGGGACAAACATTAATACCAAAGTCTTCCACTTTCTGGTGTAGTGTACATCTGTGAAATTTGTCTTCTGTAGGACTTGGAGGGAAAGTAGCACAAGAATCTCTTCCAGACTGAGTTGTTTTTTTTTTATGTAATGCCCCTGCTCATGATGTTTCCTAATAAAAGATGAGATGGATGTTGGTCATAGATGGCAATGCTACTTATGTATTTATTTTAAAAATGAAATATAAAACTTTATAAACAGCATGTAAAACAGTGGAAAAGTCTATATACTTTACGAAGGCAAACTTCTGTCAGTTCCTTCATGAGACAGGATTTTATTCATTATCTAGTGGTTAGAATTTTCATTTTCAAATTGAGTAGTGTTACTTCATTAGTCCTTCTCTATTTGTTTCCATAGGAAAGCTGGTAAAATCTGTATGGAATTATGTCTCCTTTATTCCCATTATGCATCAAAGGATCAAGGGTGTCTTGGGGGGGGGGGAAAGTGTTAAGTCCCTAATCATTGTTTGCATTCTGTGGGTTTTGTGTATTGTTTGCTGTAAAATCAGTGCTTCAGAGTTTCCTTTGAAAATGTAAATGCCAGATTGTCGTACTAGAAATAGTTATTATTTTATTGCAGTAGTGGTTATATATACATGTGGTATGTGTATGTGTTGCTTAATTATTTGTGTATTTCACTGTTGATGTAGTTGGTGGATCTCAAAGCAGAACTCTTCCGAAAGCAAGAAGAATTCCAGAAAGAAAAGCTACTGAAAGATGCTGGCATCTTCACAAAGCCCAAAACTTCTAACAAGGTAGAAATATTTTTCTGTTGTTGTTTTTGCCTTTCTTTCCCCTTGAAATAAGGAAGTTCACCTTCAGATCTAAATAAATAAATACTCAGATGGTAGTGTTCAAGTGGAAAATCGGCGTGATGAGGGTGTTCTTCAAATTCCAGGTGGAATTTTTGTGCACAGCAGAAAACTCATCTCATGCTTATGTCCATCTAAATCACCACTTAGTCGTTGCTCTGCAGGGAGCCTCAGCTTTTGTAACTATAGGAAAAGAGATTTCTTTTTTCCTGCAAGATTTTGTGTGTTCTTCTGGAGGGTGGAGGATGAGGAGCTCTTGTCGGTAAATGCTCTGCTGGCTGTTCCTCTGTATCACAGCCTGTAATAATGAATACACGATTATGTCTCGTGTTTTACTCTTCACTGCATGTTGGGTTTTATTCCTTCTGTAGTTTCTATCAGTAGAATATAGTATTGCTGCTGTGTTTGAAGGAGATGCAGCATTTATAGTGTTATGCTGTAAGCAGGCAAACTTAATTGTATTTTATATCTAAAACGAAGGTGATAGAAACAATTTGTGGCTTTGTTATTACTTTAGTAATCAGCAAGATTATTCCTACTAGTTTGGTTATTTTACCATCTTTGCCAAAGTAGATTTTTTTTGACTTCTGAGTACTTCTTGGGTTTTTTTGCTTCACAGACTCTCCTTAATTCTCACATCGTACTGCAGTCTAATTTTAGGACATCCCTGCAGCACCCAAGAGCACAGTAGCTACAATCTCAAGTCTAGCATGTGTAGGATGTTATTTACAAAGTCTTTCAGGATTGATTTGCAAAGTTTGCATTACGGAGTTGAAATCTTTTTTTAATCATTACCATTTCAGTATTTTTATTTATTTCTTTGTTTGCTGCCATAAAATTGTACCCCACAGAAACCAAGTGTCTGGAACAAACAAAACATAGGAGTTACAAATCGAGCCAAGAAGGATGTGGAGCAGAAGGCAGAAGAGGATGACATATTAGATAAATCCAGGTAACCCTAAGGCTCTTCAAGGAGGGAATGCTTTGTAGAACTTGTTTTGCAGTGTCTAAAAAAAGCACATAAAGCAAGTTAGGTGCATTTTGGATCATCAGTTCTCACTAGACCAACCAGTAAGACCAGCATCAGTGCCATGCTCTTTACTGGCGATGCGACCTGAATCCCAGCGGCCTTGTGCTCTGGGGCTACCTGCCCTCACGTTATCATAGGTGCCTAACTGTGTCAGGTTACTGGTTTTTGAAAGTCATCTTTAGAATTAACAGCCAGGGCAGTGATACATTGCAATTCTATAGCAAAGTATTCCTTGGATTTGACAGAAGATGGCTTGCTTCTTTGCAAGGTTTACTTCATCTCCTCAATGGGTTAGTTGGGCAAAAAGGTATGTATTGAAAATGCAATTTATAAACCATTTGCAGTTTTTCTGTAAGCAGTTCCTTGCCCTTCAAAATTGTCTCCTGCCATTCCAGAAATTAGCTAAGGTTTTTATCTTCAGCTTCTAAGATTAAATGTAACCCCATGTTAGCACTTTTTCTTCTTTTTTTTTCTGTAAAGCACTATTTCAGCATCTCATACCTGCAAATAGTGATCTAGCTTCCAGTATTTATCTGACAGACTGTAGTAGGTAGGGGTGGAATACTTGTTACATCACGTTCCTGCCTACTTGACAAACTACACTTAAAAATAATTCTGTGACTTCGCTAAAATTATTTCCAGTATAAAGTCTGGAACTGGATATCTGCATAACTTCACAAATAGCCATTAAGGTTCAAAACAAGGCCCAGGTATGAGTCAGCTTCTAGTAAGTTTTTCAAGCAGTCCATGTGCTTTCCTGTCTCATTTATCTAAGGCTAAGTGGCCATTTTGAACTGTGTTTGGAAACAGTGGGATTGCAGTGTTTTGTTTTGTTTTTTTTTTTCTTTTTCAGGAAGAAACTAGAGGAGAAAGCAAAACTGTATGAGAAAATGACCAAAGGGGACTTTCCAGGTGAACAAACCCAGTCTAAAATTAGTATTGTTATATAGATAAATCATTTGCAAAGTTCACCCTAAAATTTGGTATTTCTGATTATGGTGATTTACTTCAGCTAACTATGAATTCACTGCTTGTCTTCTTATATGGGAAAATTTTGTTTAGAGTTATACAAAGTGATTAACATGGGTTGTTCTAGCTCGAAAGGGAGAAAATACAGGTACTAGAGAAAATAAAACTACTTGTTGAAGTACAGCCTTAGTAAAGCACTGTTGGTTTGTTTCATTCATTCATTGAGTGGAATATATTCTGTTTTTTTCAATACAGAATCTTAGAAAACCAAAATGAATTTATCCTCCATTATGCAGTCTGTGGATTGCATTGCTGGTGTTCTGTCCTGCATTCTAATTCTTGGATGTTTATGAAGAGAAGATGAGCAGGAGGGGGGTCTAGCTGGTCCCTATGTGGATACCAGTCAGGCAGCTAATGGGGTTGCAGAATTCCAGTCTGTCCCTTTCTTCTCTCTCATTCAGTCCCTTGCAAGAAGTAATTACTAAAAAAGAATGAAAATCTCCTTGCAATTAATGTTTTCTTCTAATGTCCATCTTTGTCCATGTGACCCCACAACTCTTCTCTGCTTTTCTAAAAAGTAGTCCAGTAACTGCTTAACTACTGTCAGCACAACAAATGTTAAGCATCAAAAAAGTATTTGAACAGTTAGGTAACAGACCCTATACTTCAGATGCAGTTAATGAGCAGAGAATGTTTTAGTGCAAAGACTTCAGCCTTTTCTGTAATATCCACAAACGATTAATTGCTTTAAAATACCCTAAAACTTCTATTCATAAATAGAGGTTATTTCTGTGGAGCCAATTTATAGCTCCAAGTTTGTTTGGCACTGGATGAGATTTAAGCGTTCTTCAATAGTGTGGTCAAGGGCATTGTGAGCAGCTGAAAAGCTGATTGTGGCTATTTTGTATCGATTTTCTGCTCAGTTCTGTTCTTTTCATGGCTTTTCTTTAAGAATTGATTTTCTGCCTTAGATGAAGAGACTGAGGATTTGTACCTAGTGGATTTCACTCAGAAGATCATAGACAAACAGCACGAAGTACAGGAACTGTATCAGAGTGAAGCTGCTAGAAAAACTTTAGAAAAAGAGACAGATGATGAGGAAACTCAACCTGAAATGGAAATACCACCACCCGAGGACCCAGATGAAGAATGGTTAGTGCTACTGATGGGTCTAAGCTGTCCTGACTAGTCTGTTTCTTGACAATTGCATGAGAAAATAATTTCATTCTCCAAAGTATGTGGAGTGGCACTTTTTTTTGTGGTTAATGCTACACTGAGAAGAGGTGTTAAACCTGTCTCATTAAAAGCCACTCCTTCATGTTACTTTTCTTTCCATATGGGTAACACTGCAGTAGAATCTACATCCAGGGTTTTGTACTCTAAGTGAGGCTTGTAATATCCTGTGTTATTTTCTGGCATAGCTTACAGGAGTTGTGATTGCAGTGTTGATACTGTTTTATGCTTTGATGCTTTCAGCTGGAAGTTATTTTAGCAAAACTTGGAGGTTTTATTGTATCCACCTTCCCTTCTCTAATTATGTTTTCATCTCAGTGAGGCCATAATCCTAATGAGGATATTTAGGTGCTAGTTTCATTGATGCTAATGATTCTGCAGCCATACTTACTGTAGAGAATGCAGACTTCTTTTTTTCTACTGATGTTAAATTATAATGAAAACCAAAGGACACTAAGTATATACTAACTTGTAGAGCTCTTTAGAAATTATGTTAAAGACTTACCTTACTACAAGCACAGATCTTCAGAAGTTTGGTTTCAGGGAAGTAAATTGCCAGTCATACTTTTTCAGATGTAATATTAATTCTTTCAAATGGGATAATTGAGGCAGCTTGATGCTAAAGAACTTCCCAGCATAACAGTACAATAAGTATAGCTCTTAAGAGCTTTTTTTGACACTAAATTGAGTGTTCAGGACTATAAAGAGTTGAATAAGAAGCACAATATGTGTTTGAAGGGAGTGTTTTGCTTGCATTCTAGTCAGCCTTTGTTATGCCAGTTGAATGGATGCTATCAGCCTATTCTAAATGAGCTTTAGACTGATAATTGAAATATACTGTAGCAATTTCATATCCACAAGAAATCAATGCTGTCTTGTCATTTTCACCATGGGAAGCAAGTACTAGGCTCAGTTTTAGTTTGGTGTGAAAACTACAGGGCATTGTAACGTTTGAACATTTTTACCATGGTGTTGCCAAGACTCAAAGGGAGATGGAGTGAATGTCTGTGCTAAGACTGTCAGGTGCCCTGTTCAGAACATGTCCTCCTCACCTGTGGGTCTCCTCATGGAAAGGTAGGAGAAACGGTCACCCTGAGAGGTGATGAATACACATCAAAGTATTGCCAGTTCTGCCTTCTGTTAAGAGCTGTGTAAACCTGCACATGGAAGTTCTGCACCCAAGCTCCTTTGCTTTCATTGCAGGGTTGATTATGTTGATTTCTTGGGCCGATCGAGACGCTGTATGAAGAAGGATTTGCCAAGTCTGCTTAAAATGGATCAGGAACTTCAAGGGAAAAGGTGTGGTTTCTCTAATGGAAGTGCATGTTCCTTGCAGTATTTGACATACCTATTTTTGATGAGAAGGAAGGGAGGCTCTGCTTTCTTCCTCAGCATCACCAGTTCTGGACTGAGAGCGACTGCTTTCTCCAGATCTACTTCAGACAAACTTCTGCTGGTGACAACATTGTGCTTTAAGAGTAACTCTAGAGCAATTGTGCTTGACTGTGACTTTATCAAAACTTTCTATTATAAATTCCCATAGTATTCCAAGGCTTCTATTTCATTTCACCTAGGCAGGTGACCATTTGAAATGTATGGCTGGTGTATTGGTTTTAAACCACAGCAGAATGGAGACCGTGGATATCAAATAAAAGCCCAAATGAAATTTTTAATTAATTACTAAAGGTCACTTTTTGATGTAACCACTGAGTAAATCTAAAACCTAACTTATGGAGTACAGTTTGCAAAGAAAAATTCTAATAAGTCAATTTAGCAACCTCTCGGCTATTTGATGTTAAAATTACTATGTCAGCACTGAGAATTGTTTTCAGAAAATAAGGCACCTCAACTGAGCCCTTACTGTTGCTGAAGTGAAAATTCTTTCACACTAACAATTTAGTAGTGTTCTCTGTATTTTAAACAAAGTGGAGAATATGAGTGCTTTGAAATTGCAGTCTCTGCATTGATATGGATGACAGTCTGTCAGCAAAAACAGCTCTAGCTAGACAATAAAAGAAAAAGATCCTGTTGCATCTCTTGGGAAAACAAAGATCTCTCCCATGTTGGTTATTAACACTTGGCATGGAATTCTAGGGTAAATTAATGGCTAGCTATTTGTTATTTTAAATGCCTTTCATCTTACGTTAAATCTGAAATGTTTCTGTAAGCAATTGCTAGAATCCAAACAGATGCCAGCAAAAGTTATTTCATCTCCCATTCTGTGACTTGACAATGATTTCATGAACTTCTGGGTATGATTTTAAGTCTTCTAATAACGTGTTCTACTAGTACCTTGTTTCAGAGGCAGTTTTGTATTTGGTTTTGTCACGTACCATAGTCATTTAGTTGCATTACTAAATGGTGTCTGCAATCATCTGTTTTGTAAAAACTGCAGGAGTGGGTCAGACCAAATTATATTTTGTTTGATACTGTGAAACTGTTAAGTTCTACTCTGTAAACCCTTTTTATTTTTTTTTTCTCTAATTAGCCAAGGGCCTGATGGGAATACTTTGTTATCTGAAGACATGAGAAGAGAACTTCAGAGGCAGCAGTGGGAAAAAGAAGAAGAAGAAGCCCTCAGAAAACCCATGGGACCCATACATTATGAGGACATTCGAGAAAATGGTATAATTCTGTACTTTATATCACTTATCTTTACATTACCAAAGAGGGAAGCAAGGGAGGTTACTTCTTGTGCCTATATGGCACAGCATAGGTATGTGTTAAGCCACTTGTGTAACCCAACCTGTGTTGTTAGGAGTAATTCTGTGCCTGAAACAGGGTGCATGGGGCTTGTAGTTACTGTCAATTATAAACTGAGAGTAACATAAATTTACTGGTTTTCTTCTTTTCAGAGGCCAGACAGCTTGGTGTTGGTTACTTTGCCTTTTCCCGTGACAAAGAACTTAGGAATAAGCAACGGGCAACACTGGATATGCTGAGAGAGCAGGTATGAGTTTGAAGAGCAGGCTGGTGTCCCAGGGCATCCTGCTCCCAGGGGTTACTGTCTTTGATTCGTTGTGCAAGTCTTACATTAGATGATACCTGCAGTTGACACTAAAAAAAAATTGGCCTCTTTTTCCCTGTTGTCCATGGTACTTGATAAGGATTGCTGCTGTTTAGTGGAGGAGGACCTGTAGTTCCAATAACAAAGATTAACTCCTGCTTTTCCTTGCTGTTAAGACGCTTGATCAGAGGACGAAGCGCGAGCAGCTGAAGGAGAAGAGGAAGGCAGCTCTCGATGCAAGGCTGTCCAAACTCCGGGCACGGAAGGTGAAGAAGTTAAGGGAAGCTGGATTAGAGGAAGAAGCACAGAAGTTGGAGAATGGAGGTATGATCTGCCTTTTTAAATTAAATGCTATTTCTTCTTGCATTGGATTGATGGACAGGCATGCTCTGATTTAGGTTTGGATATTCAATGTATTGGTATTATATATTCTGTATATACAATTAGTGTAACTGTTAGATATAGTGAGACTTCACGGAACTGTGTGTAGATAGAAAGTCATGCCAAAAATAGCTTAATAATGCAGACAGAAATGTGATGTGTAGATGGTAGGCCTTTCTTGATTCACACCTGACAGCAGGAGTTAGGTGGGTTAACTGTGCGGGTTGGGGTTAGAGCTGCAGAAATTTTACTGGCTTTTTCTTTTTTAAGATGAAGTGGAATAAAGACCAGTAACATGTTAATTTTGATATCATGTAGTGTACAATCCTTCACCTCTAAAGCAGTCTGTAAATGGGACATACAGCTGACATGAGGGTTTCGGATGATGAACTTGAGTTCCAGTCCCATCTCTGAGCTGTCTCCATGATGACGCCACCAGGCACTTGTGCTGTCTGTCTCCTGCTGTGAAACATGGCTCATTTTTCACTGTCAGAATTCTATGCAGGTTATTAACTGCAAAGAGTTCTGGGAACAAAAAACACTAATGTCCCACTGCTACTGTTGTTCAGAAGAATAAGAACACAAATTGTTTTCTCCAGTAAATGAAATGGAGACAACATGCTAACGTTCTTATTTTTACCCAATTTTCTAACTTCAGTATAACCCTCAGCACATCTCTTTTTGGGTTATTGGGCAACAGATTTTCAGCAGTCTCCTTGATACATCTAGAAAGCTAAAGAAGTGTCCCTTGGTAGATAATCTCCCTGATTATCTGGCTTACCCATTATCTTTCCTGAAATTTAATATACAGTAATTTAAAAAAAAAAAATCACCTCCCCACTCAGATGCATTTCATTATTAGAATGGAATTAGATAACTAATATGAGCTCTATAAACGCAAATAACTCTTGGTTCCTATTCCTTCCATGAAGTTCATATACATTTTATCCCATTGCTAACAAAAACGACTATGTCTTTCTGTAACACAGAGTTGAAAGGTGCTGCTGAAGAACCGGAAGCCCCACGAGTCACTGCAGCAAGCAGAAAGGTAGAGGTGGTCATCCAGGAGAGGAGAGACACGAAGCCTGGCGTGCCTTACGTCCGAGAGTGGGATAAAGGCAAAGGTGAGGAAATGCAGATTCAGAAACATTGTTTGGAAGCCATGTGCATGCTGCTTTCATTTCTATTTTGTGACAAGTGTGGTAAGCTTGGGAAGCAGTGAAATACTTCTGCCTTTGTACCAGCTAGTAGTTGACTAGTGTCCAGTGCAGCGACTGGCAAGGCATGCCTTAGTGCCACTGCCTTAGTGCCACTGCCTGCTGTCATCTCCCCATCTTTCTTTCTTTCTTTTTTTTTTTTTCCCCAATCTGAGTTATTCCATTTCTGGGCGACCCAGAGGGGCTGTCAGAATGACAAATTTCATAAGATGTATGCCTTTCAGCACGATCTTTTCTTGATGCATTTCTGTAGTTTGTGCTATATGATGGCAGGATGTATTCATTGAAACAGGTACAGGACAAAACTAAAAACTGATGCAAGCAGAGACCACTGCAGTGCCAATGTCCCATCTTGGAGCATCTTCCTTCTGACAACATCAAGTGATGGTTGTCTTCCAGATCCTTCCCAGACCCACTAACTCATTTCGCACCATTAATCTGCACTTATGCACACTTTTGTAGTCTGATGCTTGGCTCCTAGGTAAAAGCAGACGAGGAAGAGGCAAAGCACATCCATGCCCACCTTCTTTAGTACTCTGTAAAAGCATCATTCCTATTCTGTGCAATACTGGTATTTCAAGTTTTTCACTTTTCTTTTTACTTCTCACTGTCTTTCTGTGTTCAGTTAATGAACGTCATGAGGGAAAACTTTTAGGTTCTATCTGTTAAATCTTTAGCCTGCTTGACACTTGTTTTTTCCTGCCTCTGAGCAATCCTAGTATATGACTGACACCCAAACAGCACTGAACTACACAACAAATATTAGACTCAGAAAGCAGAAGACCATTTACTCTAAAATGTGAAGTAAAATAACTGCTTCATTCAACATAAATGTAACACAAGCATCGAAATTAGTATAAGAAGTGGTAAAACTCCTGACTCTCTTAGATACTTTCCTCCTTACTAATTTTTTTTATATTTTTACCAAAGCAAAGGAATGAGTCCTGCTCTGATTGGGGCTGTATTTTGCCACATCAGACAAACACGTAGCCCTTCTGTATCAAAATTTTCTACTTCTCTTACAGAAGCCCGTGTAAAAATGAATACTGAAAAAAATTTTACTGGTTTTAGAGAGCAGATTTGGGAGATATCAGAGTAGGTTTTGGGGATATCTTTTTAAGTGTGGTGATCTTGAGCTGTCATTCTATTGCAGTACTTCAGAACTATTTTTAATCAGAAATCAACAGCTGTCATAATAACTAGACTATCTGCCACTTCTATTGAAATTTCTATTCAATATATTTCAATTCAATATATTTCTGCTGAAATATAGAAGTTACTTATAAAGAAGTTACTGGGTTTCACCTGTGCGCACTAGAGATAATCTTACCATCTCCATCTTCTGATAACTAAACTCTTAATGTTTTGACTGGTTTGTATCTTGAGTCACCCTTAACTAATCAGTTGTTTCTCTAAACTGATGTCCGCATTGTTAAAAGATCCTGAAGTACCTCAGATGAGTTATTCTGAGGCTGGTGGTTATCTTGAATGCTCGTTTGGGCTATGTAAAGAAAGTGGACTGTCAGTTTAGCCAGCAATCTAATACTAGCTGGAAAAGTAACTTCAAATGATTTTACATAGTTGCAAATTTGTTTTCCCTCCTTTCCGACTATCTTCAGACCTTAAAATCTGTATCAAATCTACCATCTTTCCTGTTCCTAACAGAATTGATGTTTGGACAATGGTCAAAGAAACAGGAAGAACTCAGAGATGAGCGAGATCCAGAATTCGCGCCACCTTCCACTTACTTTTTGGGCCAAAAGAAAGATGATAATGGCAGAAATCAGAACTCAAACAGTCCTGAAACTTCTGAAAAACTGGAGC